CAAGAGCCGGATATGACGGCGTCCCCCGAGAAGTCGAGGGAAAAAAAATGTATGTATATATATACCTCTCGTAACTCCTGGTATATATAATCTACAGTTCAGCCTCGATGAGTATAACGTACACCCTCTCCGCATAGACCTCTCGATCCGAGCGATCCGAGCTCTCTTGGCTTAGTTTTCTACCTTTTGTGTAAGTACTGCTTTTTTTTCTTCATATTGTTCCCATTTCTTGCTTAGCTCCCGATTGTCGCGCACGTTGTTATTCAGACACACCTAAACGTGTACAACACAGGTATGTATATTTACATGCACGGGGCTACTCGTTGAGAACAGCGAGAAAAGGGGGACACGACGAGCCGGCGAGCGCTCGTGCCTAATGACTCGGGAGATAAAAAGCTCGGACGAGAGGGGTAGAAAAGAAGAAGAAGAAAAAAAAAAAAAAAAGGAGGAGGGGTGGAATTAAGATGGACGAGGGAGGAGTAAGCAGAGATGGCGAAAGGGAGCAGCGTCCTGGGAAGGGCTACGTGGTTATCCAAAGCCTTGGCTGGTGGTGGAAGTTGGGCAGCGCGGAACCGGTTCAGCCGTGGAAAACTCGGGGCGCCTCGACGTGTCCTCGTAGGAGAGCAGCGGAGCTTTGAATCTGCCGTAATTTATATAAATGTGAACCAGCTGATCGGTTACTTTTTTTTTGTTTTTCTGTCTTCCCTTTTGCGGTGTGCTCCTCACGCATCGTTTGGAATTTCTAATTTCTTTCTCTTCACTGCGCTGCTTTTTTTTTTTTTTTTTTGCACGGGCGAATAATAAGCGAGAGCCCATCGTGCAGCCGAGAGAGATCGGGGTCCAAGTGCGGAGGAGGAGGAGGAGGAGGTGATTAAAAAAGTTCCGGTAGTAAAAAGGTAAACAGGATTCCGTGGCGAGCTAGCCGGGTATTGTATACACACCGTGCGCCTCCCTTCTCTTTCCATCTCGAGAGTATTGTACACACACACACACATACTACGTGCGTGCGCTCGGGTGATTTCTTTTCCTTTTAATTAGTTGCTATACTTGCGTACACACATGCGGATGATTACTTTTTTTTTCCATTTCGCGGTAAATTTTTTTCAATTAGGATACGCACACGCACATAAAAAAAAAAACGAGGTTTTTTTTCGAATTTCAGTCATAAAATGAGAGTAAACACAAAGTTGCTTTTCTGCTCTTTTCACGTACATATACTTGGTGTGTATAATTTTGCTTCGCTTAATTAACACTTGTGTACATACTCACGTGGATGATACATTTTTTCGGGGGTTCTTTTTTTCTGTTAAAGACGCACATTTACGCCCAGACACAAGAGTATTGGCAAATATGATGTTTTTATCCAATTCCAATTTGAACATTGTACAATTTCAAAAAATAACTTTACCTATACACAAATTAGTACAATACGAATACTACGTCTGCAGATTTTTACAACTTTCGCAGCTTGACAATAAACCATTTGTGCATATAATATGCATGAAAGTTGAAGGTACGAGTCTAATGTACAAGTCACGTCGTCGTGTGGTCATAAAAAAAAAGAAAAAATTTGAATTTATGGAAGTATAATCCCTGTAAGAATCGTTACTTTGTAACTGCATAAGCTTTGTTCTTGCGACTGTTACATTTTAATTGCACACACTTGGAAAGTTTACGTTGACTACGTTTTGTACTCCAAACTATTTTTTAAAAATTCTGACAAGACGTTACTACAGCTCGGATTTAATTTTAACGTCTGACTCTGTGGAAGACATTATCTCTGGCACGTTGAATTTTTTAAAAAGTTTAAAAATACTCAACAGTAAATAGTAAAGAACCATTTCTTTTCACTGGAATTTTGTTAATGTTTTGAAAACTGTAGTACTTTTAATATTACTAAATGCCAAAGAACCGATTCCACGTCTGACCATATCAGGCTTTTTCTACTGAGTGGGTGTACAATACAATACAGTGTGGTATTCAACTAGCATCCAAAAATTTTGTTCTATCGCATTTGAGAACGTAAACAAGATGCTTGAACTGAACTGTAATTAAATAACGTCTCTTCTCACCAGATCGAGTAACTCGATGTGAAATGGACAAAAAGCAGCGCGTAGAGGCGAAGAAATAGTATAGCTATACGCAGTCACAACAAATGGAACGAATTCCGCTTGTATTTAATTTTTATCAAATTCGTGTTGGCGAACGCGCCGACACCTGCTTTGCGACGGCGTACATGTGTAGGGCTACAGCCTACCCCGTCTCTCCTCTGCTGTAGTCGCGCGTTTGAAAGAAGGAATTGCGTGTGCTCGAAAGAAAGGAGATGCATTTCATTCGATCGGCACGTATAGATCCTCGTTCTGGTGTACCGTGAGGAAATTCCGAGCTATACGGTGCCAATAAATTTCCAATCTTTCAGATATTGTATTGTATTTTATCAAATTTCATCGAAGATACAACTCGTGTACAAGAGAATCGTCGTGTGAAATCGATGGAAGTCAAGCTCCGAGCGGTAAATATCATCGACGAGAAAATCATGGATTAATTGCTCAATGAGCGTTCTCCGGGTAATCGGAAAACAGTGAGTTGCATACCCAACTCGCGGTAACAACGCAGCCCCCACGCCCACCATTAAGCCCGTTTTTTTTTTTTTTTTGTTTTTTCATTTTCTCTCTACTGCAAAATAATATACACGAGCTTTCCACGTCCGTCACGTCGGGCTATAAAAGCTAATAGGGGACCGGTTGAAAGAAAGAAAGAAAAAAAAAAAAAAATTGCATGCTGCTTTGCAAGGCGAGCCACGTGCGTGGTCCCTGTGATGAGAAGGAGGTGAAGGAGAAAAGGGTATATACCGCCACGAAGAAGGAGAAAAGTCAGGGCACGAGCTGCTGCAGGTATACATATATGTATACCCTAAATGCAACGTTGGTACATGCAGAGAGAGTCTCCTCGGCTAACCGAGCTTTAATTGCAAGCTTCGCGAGTAATTAAAGAAATAGAGAGAGAGAGAGAGAAAAGCAGGGTCTTTTCTTTCGAAACTATACGAGGAGGACGACATCGGCCAGAGCATTTGTAAATAGGATGAACGGTATTGTGTATACGCAGAGGACAGCTATCCAGCCCTGCGGAGTAGATAATACCCATCCCCGGCTCCATTTCGCGCTCCGCAGCTTTCGTTCGTTTTAAACGCGTACGTGTGTGTGTGTGTATCTTTATTTTTTTCTTTTTTTTCCCCCACCCCAGCACTAGCTCTCTTTTTTTTTTTTTTTTTTTTTCCTTTCATATACGACTGTGTGTCTCCTCTGCGCTTTTAGCACATTTTCCTTTAGCCTTTTCAGGGGTGTACACCGTGCACCGTCCAATTGGGAATGAAGCTTTTTTTCCCTCCTGTTCTCCTTCTTTTCTTTGTATCGTTGTTGCCCAGTACTACTGTATATATACGTTCGAATCTGCTCGCCATACGGCTGCTGCGTCGGCTCTTTTCATTATATACGCGCGACGCGGTGCGTGCTTTTTTGTCCGCGGAAGCAAAAGCTCGAGGCGATTTTGAGATTTCTCTATATGGTATAGGTACATATTATATACCCACGCGCGCGCTCCTCTCTGCGTTTATGCGTACATACCCTGTGTTGTACAGATACTGGTTTGCGAATTTACTTGAGCTTCATTCGATATACACAATTTATCCTTTTTTTTTTTTTTTCTTCTTTTGCACGATTATTGGAGCTCGCGCTTATTTCGTTTTTCCGTTCGCTTTGATACGCTCGATGAGCTTCATTTGGTGCAATATAGACCACCATCCTGCATGTATGCGTGGAAAAAAAGATACATGTAAAGTATAAATCTCCTTGGATGTATTTCAACAATATATTGGATGAGTAGGATGTTTGTGTGCCTAATATATGTACACACTGGAAATGAAAATTATTTATAAGAATAAGCCTCTTAAATAAGTCCCATTGTTGTTTGTACAAGTTGGATGAAGGTGTGCCGATTCAAACGATCATTCCATCAGCGATATCAGAAAAATATTTTTTAAATATCATCTAGCAGTCGATGTATAGCTTTTCACGGGACGGTTGATGGTTGTTTCGAAAACTGACGTGCAAAACAGAAAAACAGTGCCGAAGCTTGTACCTACATCATATACATGAATAAGTGTGTCACAGAAGCGATCGTCTCTCTTGTGTTTTTCCCTTCTGCCGGGCTTTTGATGTTTGCACACGCCAGTAAAATCAGGATCGTTATCCCAGGACACGTTCGACGCTCGAAAAATATCACTAAAAGGTACGCGTCAACGCGCTGAAATAATAATAAAAGTAAAAAAAGAATAACAAAAAAAAAGCTGACACGCTTAAACGTGTGTAGGACCTGTGTAGGTACACGTGCATACAGAAAACGGGGGAGAGAGAGAGAGAGAGACGAGCCGTTGAACCGAGAATAAATTTAATTAAAACTTCATTCGCTACAGCAAAGCTGCTGCTGGACTCCACTGAAAGCTCTAGCCGGGGATAGTTTAACCCGGTGTGTCGGCGTGTTTTATTGACAAACACTCTTTTCCCGGGCAGTGAGGGCCAAAGAGTTCGTGGCTTGCAATAATCAGAGCTGCTGCTGCTGCTAACTGACAAACTAGCTGTCTCCAGCTCTTGTTTCTCGACTTTTATCGATTTAATCGCCTTTTTTTTCAAAACAGCTCCCCCAACTCACGTGCTCAGAGCGCCAAAAGCCAATCTATCGCCAAAAGGAATCAGTATACACACCTGCGAGAGTGGGACCGAGTGCATATCGTAAAATATTCAATCATTGGCATACAAACTTACTTTCGCTTTAGGATTGAATGCTGACCCGCTCGATAAAGTACGTAGCAACCGATGGATGTATAAACTCTCTCATATACTAACAAATTTAACAAAAAAGTAGAGATGTTGTCGTAAAAATGAAGATAAACCTATACAAAATTGTTGTAAGAAAAATACAATGTTTTTATTAAACTACGCGTCCGTTTCAATAAGTTTACAGTCGTAAGAAATGGATGATCAATTCATCTTTGATTTCTTGAGTGCTTTCTGTTTCATACCCAATTCCATTTTCTTCTGTTTTCGTTTATTTAGATTCTCTTGGAATTCAGTCTCTGCATCCTCGACCATTTCTGGTACGTACTTTAGCAGCTCTTCCCCCGTCATCTGGAAATCACTGTCAACCCAAATATCCTTCAGCTTCGATATAATGATTCCAATCAATTGATTTTTATTTCCCAAGTAGGGTTTCAACATCGATCCGCTTACGGGGAAGGACGAGTCCCACTTTTCAAACTCCTCGAGGAGCTTTAGAGCGCCCTTGTACCTTAAAAATTCGCATATCATTTCTCTCAGATCGCGGATACTGTCAATAGTTTTCAAAACATGTGACTGGTATTTTTTCAACGGACGATCGCCCAGCAGATCGTCATCACGATTCTCTACTATGAAAAGTGCTATATTTCTGTCTATGTTGGAAAATCGCAGTTTCATGAAAAGCTGCAACACCTCCTCTTGACTGTTCAACAAAGCGGCAGCCCGTGAAATAGATCGCAATTTAACATTGTTATCCTCTGCTTTTTTACAGATTTCATAAAAATGTTCAACGTTTGGATTCTCTGGTAGACCCATGTACTTGGCACACCCGCAGTCTATCAGCATCGTTGTCATTTCTTTGTAAAAATTTCCCTGCAGAATCCTATTCCACTCTGTCCACATCCTTTCTCCTGATATCCTCTGAAGCCCTTCTACATTATCTTTAATAGCCTGTATTGTTTGTTCATCGTGATTATCTGGAGTATCAGCTATTCTACCGTAAAAGCGAAAATACCTGTGTAAAACATCGCACCAATAAGTTAAACAAAAAATGTAATTTGATCGATTTTGACGTTTTAAATTTTACCTGAAAATTCTCAAAAAGTCCTCTTCTATTCTTCGAGCAGGGTCACCGACAAAGGTAACTTTTTTCTGCATCAGATGGTCGTAGCCATAAAAGTAATCATACACCTTGCCATCCAAATCTAAGAACATTGAATTTATTGTCAGATCCCTCCTACTGGCATCTAAAAGCCAATCGGTGGTAAACTCGACATTTGCATGTCTGCCATCAGTTGCAACATCAACTCTGAGTGTTGTAACTTCAAAGTTCTCCTTGTCATTGATCCTGGATGTGACTGTTCCATGCTTTTCTCCATTAGTATTAATCATTCTCACTTCTTCCTTCTCAAACATCTCTTTCATTTGATTAGGAGTGGCAGTTGTTGCAAAATCAACATCTTTTGGGTTGATGCCCATAAGAATGTCCCTGACGGCTCCACCTGCAATCCTCAACTCATGTTTGTGTCTTTTAAACATATCAGCCAGCGTTTCCAACTCTGGTGTGAAAATTGATTTAAACTCTGGAGTGTCCAGTATTTTGATAACAGGATTTTTCCTGTGTGGTGGCAAGTTTTCCCCAGGCATTATTTTTTTTAGCCACTTATTGGCTTGTAAAAACCGTTTGAAGATCTAAAAATACATTGATTAACAATTAACTATTTACTCGTATGAAAAAATATTTGAAAAATCAACTTGGAAAAAATTGAAAACAGATGATCCTAACCTCTACGCCAGGCTAAAATTCAATAACAATACGTACATGAATGTGTTCACGTTTGCCAACCAGGGCTAATTGTTTAGCAGCCGTAAAAATAATCTGCATTTCTGAACATTCACTTTTCTTTCAACTTTATATTAATCACATTACGGTACTCATACTTATTTTTATCTCTGAGATCTAAAGACAACGCAAACACACGTGTAATACACACTCGTTCAATTGGGATAAAAACGTGACTGTAAGTACTTAACTATAGTTATAAGTATGCAAAAGACATGCAACTATGAAAAAACGAAAGCGTTAGGGTGAGATTACATGGAGTCTGGCAGTCTGCAGACTGGCAGAATCGCGCTGAGTTTAAATTATGTTTAAATTATAACATCTCAGAATAATTTAGTAAAATAAAGAAAAAATTGTAATTATTGTCATAACCGAATAAAGGCTTAGTTACAATCAATTTCATTTACAATCAAACGTGTCAAATATTATTTTATAACTTTTTTTATAGATTTATGTTAACATCGTACAGTCGGTCAGTAGGGTCACTGATGTAACCTGGTATGTATAACAATATGTAACTGTGACAAAACGTTTTTCGTCACCTTTTTTTTCATAAATATTAGTTAACACAGAAATGCAAATGTATTACGATAATTATTTCTTTGCATACGTAACAGAATTTAAATATTAATATTGAAACATATTTTAAACTTAGCGCGATTCTGCCAGTCTGCAGACTGCCAGACTCCATGTAATCTCACCCTTAGTTCACACCTAAATAAGTAAAATAGTAGGATACTTTTGAAACGTAAACGCAGATTATTTATTTGATATTTTGGACTGTATTTGTAAAGAATTTTTGATCCATCGCGCTCTTTTATGCACAAGTGAACGAAATGCCTCTGCAGTACGTTCTCGGAACTCTTCTGAAATATAAAAACCTTACGTGTACACTTCTAAGTTGAATCACCTTATCAATGACCAACAGACTGCCCTAGTGTGTTATCATTTTTGTTTTGTGTGTTAAGCATCTAGTGTTTTCGTTTTCATGATACCTACATCGTTGGGATAACCAACAAAAATACGCCAAAGTATAATGATATAAATGTGTGTCAAAAAAATAAATTATCGGCCCGTGATTAACATTAATGTGTACAATTGTTATTTACTTGCTGATAAAAATAAAAAAATAACAATAAAAAGAAAGGTAAGCTGTCCCCTACTGTCTTTTACATTGCATGGACATGGCTTTGTATACGTCATGTACTTTCATTTATAAACAAGTGTGCACTTGCTTGGGTGTTTCGTAATACTGAAAATTCGATAAAATTGTATGATAGGTTCAAAGTGTCGAGTGAGTTTTGAACAATAATCTCGAAACAATTGAAAATCGATTCTGTTGCTAATTTGCTTCTCGTTTGTTTTGCAGATACACAGTGCTACAGACAACAGTGTTGGCCGGGAAATCAGCATTTGATGACGATTTTCTGTACCAAATGAAATTTTTAACAAGCATGTTTGATTCCATGTTCCTGAGCACGTTGACTCCGAAATTTTATGTCGCACTAACCGGGACCTCGTCTCTCATATCAGGTCTCATTCTGATCTTCGAATGGTGGTACTTTAGAAAGTATGGTACGTCGTTCATAGAACAAGTATCCCTGAACCACATCTCACCCTGGATTAGCGGTGGGGACAATGGCTCCGAAAGTAATGGCACAAGTGCAAACAACACAAACTCTTCCAGTCAGCAGAATGTGCCCGAGTGCAAAGTCTGGAGGAATCCTATCAATTTGTTCAGGGGAGCAGAGTACGGGAGATTTTTCAACTCAACGAACAAAGAGCCTCTGACTTACTATGACATGAATCTTTCAGCCCAGGATCACCAGACCTTTTTCACGTGTGAGGGTGATATCGGCAAGGCTGAGTACGAGATCATGCAAACCGCTTGGAGAGAGCGAAGCACATTAGTGCGCATACAGGCAGCAAAAAAGGCACTGGAGCGCAATCCAGACTGTGCACCTGCTTACATTTTGCTTGCCGAGGAGGAGGCTCAAACTATTGTAGAAGCTGAAAAAATACTCAAACAGGTACTCAAAGTGGCCGAGAACAATTACAGAAAGTCGCAAAATACACAGCATCAGGGTGCCATAGCAGAGGCGATACACAGGCGGGACACAAACGTCCTCATCTACATAAAGAGGAGACTCGCCATGTGCGCCAGAAAGCTAGGCAAACTGAAGGAAGCTGTAAAGATGTTCCGAGACCTTACAAAAGAGGTACCTCCTATCATGAACGTCTTGAATATCCACGAGAACCTGATAGAAGCGCTCCTAGAGATGCAAGCCTACGCTGACGTCCAGGCGGTACTCGCCAGGTACGACGACATCAGTCTGCCAAAGTCGGCGACGATATGTTACACGGCAGCTCTGCTGAAAGCCAGACAGGTGGGTGACAAGTTCTCAACTGACTTCATCAACCGCAGGAACCTGAGTGCCGTGGAGATGGCGGCCGTTGAGGCGATACACAGAGCCGTGGAGTTCAATCCGCACGTACCCAAGTACCTGCTCGAAATGAAGCCACTGATTCTACCCCCGGAGCACGTGCTCAAGAGAGGTGACTCCGAGGCGATAGCCTACGCGTTCTTCCACTTGCCCCACTGGAAACAGGTAGAGGGAGCCCTGAATCTCCTTTACTGCACGTGGGAGGGAACATTTAGGCACCTGCCTACGCCGTTAGAACGGGGCCACCTCTTTTACCCGTACCCAACGTGCACTGAGTGTGCGGATCGCGAACTTTTACCCTCCTTCCACGAGGTCAGCGTCTATCCCAAAAAGGAGCTGCCCTTTTTCATACTCTTCACCGCGGGCCTGTGCTCGTTCACGGCTCTCGTAGCACTACTGACGCACCAGTATCCCGACACTATGGGCAACGTCGCCAAGTCGATGTTAAGCTGGCTGTCGCTGCCCTTCAACTACGTCCTCGAAAAACTAGAGCCCGTCGCGCCCACGAATCTCTGGCAGTACCTGCTGAAGACGCTGAGTCCCTAAAAAAGAAGCAACCAATGGACTGTCCAAGGCGCGTTGTGGTAGTTTTTTCTGGTCAAGGGAGAGCCTGGTGAAAATGGTCTCGATTTGTTTGACACGCTTTTTTTATTTACATAGCTAAGAATCTCTTTTTGTTAGGTATTTTATTTTAGACAATTCGACTTTCTGTGAAATTAGGTTGAGATAAACTGTGATAATCCTTTTTTTTATTTTTTTTTTTTTTTTATACTTTTTATTTGTATTAATTTTTATATTTTTACTTGGCTGATTAAGAGACTTATTAGAGATCATTGGCGCTATTTTACAAATGACTTGTTTTAAGTTTTGTTTTTGAAGTAGGTAGCATTCCACCAGCCTCTAAATGAAGAAAAAATACTGATTTCTATCTAATTACTTCAAAGTTCCCCAGATATTTTCACCAGGTGTATATCTCTGAACAAGCCCGAGAATCTAATGTGATATTTGCGATACTTAATCATTTTTTCCGTTCCTTCTCTCTCAATCGCACTCATACCGTACTTGAATGTAATAATAAATATGTACCCCATTAACTTTCTCGTTCCGACTTTCTGGTAAAAAAAGTGCTCACAAATTAATAAATCATTTTTAAGGTCCCAAGCAAGTGTATCTATACTTGTCTAATTGGGATATATAAAACGCATATTTATACATGTATATTTCGTACCATATCACAATATTTTTTTCAGCCAGACGGAACTACAATTTTAAGGACTGATGAACTGACAAATTTGTAAAAACAAAATGATTGATTACTTAATAATTTATAAGCTGATTGAATTAGTTGTTTTCAGTAGCATTACCAAACTTAATGTACAAAATGCGAGTGTAATGAGCATATATGATTCGAACTGAAACGATACCGTATTTTCGTTAATTTTTTTTTCGTTCATTATATGTAATTTATATACTGAGTTATGCATTAATTTTTTGAGGTGTGTGCGACATCGCTCATCACTATGTATGAAAGTGATTTGAAAACTAATTGAAACGAATAAAAAGAAGTTTTATTCCTATCAAGTCGTTCTTATTTACTCTTTAATAGTAATAAATATACCTCGGTTTCATAAAAAAAAAAAAAAAAATCCCACAATACAAACTGGATGGGTGGTTACAAATGTATAACAAATTAAAAACAATTTACTTGTGATTTATATTTATTCGATATTTTATGTCATTAGTAGCTTGTAATGAGGCAAAAAGAACGAGGCAGACCAGAAACATAACATATAAAATATTAACGCCCCCTACAAAAAGACCAATTTAATCTCTCTCTCTTTCTCACGCACACGAACGCACCACAATCTTCCTCAAACCACCTAAAATAGGAACATGTCTCCCCTTGCAGTTATTATTTGTTTTTCACTTTTATATTTTGCCATTTAAAGCTTCCAAATACATATGTCGTTACAATAGCATACACTGGCCTGTCCGTTGATCAATGAGACAACAAAGATAGAAGAAAAAGGAGAGATAAGACACTTTGAAGTCACGCAGGCCTTGTACATATGAATATGTGTATATATATATTTGATTTGAAAAAGAAAAGACAATCACTCTGTCATTTAGCAAAAAGTTATAACTTATAGACTTGTTCTTCCGTGGCTTTGATTCGAAAGCTTTGCACATTTATTTTGCAATTACAGGCTAAACAATTAATCGATTATTTATGTACAATAGGTTTTTTTCTCTTCGTCTTATTCCAAACAAGATAATTTAAAATGCTTCACGCGACGCAAAAACACTTAGCGTTGACTCTTTCGGTTTTTTTTTGTTCTTAAACTCCTACTTCGTTAAACAATCATTTTTTCTGCAAACTAAGACGCGTTTTCATCTTAGCGCTTCTTTATGATTTTTTATATTTATACAACTATGAAATTACTTTTAAGAACATATAAAAACTTACGATTGCAAATTTAAAAAGTTCACTGTAATTAACTTTGCTATTATTTATGCTGGAATAACATTTTTAATAGCAGTGTTAATGCCGTTGTATTATACATATATAAAGTAAGAAACATTATGAGTATTCAACTCTCGTTGACCATTTATTTGCATCATTTTTTTTTCCACACTATGCATAGTCTTGAGGGTAGTAGTATTAAATTCATAGCCACCCTTTTACTCTAAAATCGTTTGCTTGTATCATTCATAAAATCAACTATATATTCGAGAACTAATTGTTATTTTGTTCAATTTTTCCATATATATGTACATTTACAGATTGCCCTCTTTATAATGAACAATTTGTTTTTGTTTTAAATACACACACTTACTATAGCATTACAATTTGCTATTTTTCTTTCGTCAATCTCGTTTGCAACTGTCTTTTTTTCTACTTGTGTAAGGCACCTTCAACAAATGACAATAGCAGTTTCACGTTTAACTACAACGCTACAAGATTTACAAACCTGCGTATCAATTTTCATCTTGACACGCATCAGTCATATTCCATATTTTATTTATACGAAAGTCTATGTAACAAAAACGGACACTTTCTTGAATAACCGTCTATTGTATTTTTATTTTTTCATACAGCCCATCACTTTTTACGTAGAACATTTTCGCGACACTTGCACACATTCTTCTCTGTTCACTAAGAACTCGTCAAAATTTTTTAATTCTTTCACTCGGAAATCTTTAACTTTTTGATGTACTTTTATTTACTGGTAATATTGATTTGTCTTTTGAAAGAAGCTAAAACCGCAGCACACGAAATACTAAATATTGGTCAGTCTTCGCCCCACTTCATATCGATATAATCAGCTTTTTTTTGTTTCTGGAATGCTATGAAGTGTACTTTATTGTTTATTTCGAGATATACGAAGAAGCGTCTATAAAATTTTTTCGAATAAATCCTTCTCTAAAGACATTAATGTAGATGATGAAAAATCTAAAGTTATCTAGTTCATTTTTTTGTTGTTGTTTTTTTTGTTTTGTATTCAATACAAACATTCTTACGCTTAAAGCGTGCCGTTCGCAAAGTACTGGTACCGATCGTAAAGTTTCGTGGACCACGAGTGCAGGCTACCCTCCACCAAATCGTCGACGTGCTTACGCAACTGGTCTTCCGTTAGGGTCAGGTGAAATCGATTCTTCAAACCTTGAACCGTTGATGCAGCTCCATTACGGAAACACGGCAATTGAGAACCTATATAAAAGTAAACACAATATTGTCACTCTGTTAAAAAAAAAAAAAAAAAAAAAATTAAACTCTTTATCGCAAGACTTACCGGATATCATTATTTCAACGAGGTTCACAATCTTGTCCATGTGTTTTCTCGCGGCAATCAAGCCTTGCAAAATCAAAGTCTTGAACTCCTCGTACATCTTGGACTGATTGCCACCCATCACCTCAACGAATTCGGGCGTGAGTTTGAATGGACTCGTTTCAAAGCCAAGATTTTTAGGCGACGTCGACAGTATGAAGCCAAAATCGATATGAATAAGGTGACCATTGCTGTGCAACAGGATGTTGCCATTGTGACGATCTTTCACTTGAATTAAATAGCTAACCAGACAATACGCGGCGCAGCTCTGGACGAAATTATTTTGTGCGATGAGGAAAGCCTCCGAATCCGTGGGACCGAACTCTCGTTCAAAGTATTGCAGTAGGGTCAACTGACAATGCTTTTTGACTTGATGCAGGGAAACTGTGTTCAATATAGGCTCGATGAGCCCGCTATCGTTCGAAAGGCAAAGGATTCTGAAAGCAAAATTTTCAGTGTGAACCATAAAATCAAAGAGCCATAATCTTATTTTGTAGTTTAATTTACACACTTGTATGGACGCAACCACAGAGGAAGCTTCTCTTCCTGCCAGACCTTCTGTAGCATGACGAGCAGCTGGGATGCCAAAAGCTCTTGACGTAAATCGTCGCCGCACTTGACAATTACGGCGAGTAGACGCCAAGAAGCCAAGTGTCCGTAAGGACTCGACTGTCGTATTCGCTTCTGCTTCAATTCCCATGGCTCTTTGAGCACAGCAGCCGATGGATCCTCAGGATCGTGATTAAAAGTTGCCTTGGGCGCTGCTGCCATCTCCGTCAGTCGCCGTTTGATCTCACCAGGCGCAAAAACCGGTTCACGACTGTCCGACGATTCCTGGCTCAGCTGCGATATCGTGTCTCGGTCTTTCGTCTTGCGCAACTGTAGGTACTGTTTAGCACAATTGAAATCAATTAATTGGCTTCAGAGTTGGGTGCTTTGAAAAATTTCAACACGTATACAAATTTTTAACCTGTTGCGTGATGTCGTCGTCCTCCTGACTCCAACAGTCGTTGGGATCATCATCGATGAAATTAAACGAAACATCGGGATTCTTTGAGTAGCCAATTCTCACGGGTGTCTGCTTTGCAGCTGGCAATGACTGCTCTTCGCTTGGCACATTCGTTTGTTCGGCGGATTGTTCGGCGCCTGTCAGATTCTCCTCAGATTTCGTGTGTCTCAATGAACTTCCCATTATTTTCGTTGGCACTGGGGATGTGTACAAGTCATCGACTTCGATAACCTCTACATACATGATGTATGGGGCCTAAAAATAGCAAGCAGGTATTAACGCCCCGAGTACTAATTTACTCGCTTACGTAAACAACGAGTGAAGGCCAAGAACAACTATTACTGTGAGTCGTAAACTTTTATCGCTTACCTTGTCTTTGCTATTAAGAACTGCCGCATACTGGGGTGGAACTCGGACAATGTGATGAGGCACGGCCGAATGCAGAGGTAGCCATACCCTGGCTGGGAGATTCAAATTCAGAGTATTGAGCTCGGCGACGAGCTGGACCGTTTTGCCCTCCTTGGTGGGAATCGTGCTGAGCAGCTTCCCTATCGTAATGAGTGCCCGAATGAACTCGAGCTCCGGTGCGAGCCGAGGTGCCTGTTTATCATCAAATATTTGATTGTATGAATTTTTAACGGTAAATTTTAAGAAAAAATTCTTTTCGAAATGAAAACTAACATTGCAGACACAATCAGTCTTCTGGCCCCGTAAATCGTTCACTACTCCTTGGCAGGAATCAAAGCAGGTACATCCATTGTCAAAAGCACGACCAGAACTAAGGTCGCCGAGACTAACTTTGTTTGTTATACCTGCGTGAGATTTTCTCGTCAGTTGACAATGTAATTTATAACAAAAGTCGAAACAAGAGAGTATTAGACACAACGTACCGGAATGGTTGCGACGCAGACTTTGAAATAGTCCAGTGGCATCCGATTGAGATCTTTGGTGGGTTTTTTTGTTAGGAGATGATGATACTACATGCTGAACGATAGATAGAGGAAGAGAAAGTGGGACTTGTAGACCAGACGGACGATGTTTTCCCTTGGGTCTGAAATTGATAAAAAAAAGTATGTAGCAGCTTTGTACGTAGCAATATTTGACATAATTTAGGTATGCTCATTACCTAAGCTCGCCTGAAAGTATTAAATTTTTCAGCTTGGTGCCGTGGGATTTCTTTTTCGATGGCAAGTGCGTGTCGGAACTATATGCATCCAGCAACCAAGCACATTTTAACGAAAAGTCTACCGAATGCCTACACCTGGAACCGAAAGAAAAAAAAAATAAGATAAATAAACGATGTTTGCATTAAAACGATCTTGCTTTAATGTTTGAGACTCCTACCTATAGACGAGATATGGATAAAGAACTTCTATAAGATCGTGCAATTGTATGTACATTAAAACCAATTGTGGCAAATAGCAATCCACGTCGCTATCCGGGAAACTAAACAGCTTGTTACCTAAAAGGAGAAAAAAAAAAAACGTTAAGAATGTTCATGTCGGGCTGTCTCACGAAAAGTAAGTTTCACCATAAAAACATTATATTTACCGAGATAGCTCTGAACTCCAGGTTCCTTGGAATTGAACAGATAGGATATAGCCATAGACATGTCAAAGACTTGGCTCTCAAATAACCTCAGCAAACAGCCTTCCGAAGGCTTAGGCTGTGTAGTCTCCTGCCTCTGCATTTTGGGCTGTTGTTGCTTTATTTCAATATCCGGTTGTCCAGCACCGCAGCACAGCGTCATCGCTGCTCCAGCCAAATGGTTGCCGAGAGGAACTGCAATTTCCAACTGCTGATCCGATACGGTGGCAAGCGGCTCCTCGTCATTTTGCAAAGACTCCGCTAACGAAACGGGAAACAACGCGGTCGGCTTCACCTCGGAACTACACATGTGTCGCTGCTCTTCCTCGAGCGCCAACTGCATCGAGGACAACGAGAGGTTGTTGCTACTGCAGACTTCGCCGTCCACCACGTCGACGTCCATGTCGCCGGGCTGCGACAACGACGAGTCCAAGCTCTCGCGGCTGTGCAGGTGATCGTCGCTCGACTCCCTGTCGAGGTACCACAGTGCGACGATTAGATATATTCAACGCATCAAGAGACAAATAAATAAGCAGACAAACCTAGTCGTGATATTGGCGGTGTCGCTGGAGGAGCCACTGTCGGAGCCACAAAGGATCCCAGAGTCGTCGGAGCCAAGGCTAGCCAAATCCTCGCGTTCGCGGCTACGGCCCTTACAAGTCGGCTGGGATTTTGCAGCCGGAGTCGGATTCGTCTCGCATTCCGGACTAGGCGTGACGTCGACTTCGGGAATACCCTGGAGCGCAGGAATACAAGAGTCCAGACTGCGGTTGCGGTGGTGAAGCGTCAAGGTCGTGACCGTGGCCTGCGGCACCGGCGGCAACAGTATGCCCATCGACCTGCACGTTACAACCAATATTTGTTTTTTATTCCAGTACTTTACTGCCTACTTTGTACAACCTTAATATGTATTTCACATAATACACTAAAACAGCCCTTGCACACGAACAGTCGTCAGAACGGTCTTATCTCTAGATACGTGATGCGTCAAATAAATTAAAAAAAAAAAAAAAAAGATAAAAAAGTATATACACCTAGTACTCTACTCCCCTTATCTATCTAAGCTCTTACGTATAAGATTACGTATAAGATACATAACAGATGGGTTGAAAAATCGGAGCCTTCGTATATCACAATGATTGTGTATTGATACTCAAGGACTGTTCGTGTGGTGTGACAACTCTTACTTTTTACATTTCATCAATTTAGTTTGCATAGGTAATATTTGTATAGGAAAGAAAAACACCTCATCAGTGGTGTAGCAGAGCAAGTAACAAAAATAAAAATGTGACGGCATGACAATGTACGCATCGGCTAGGGTATATAGTTAATTATATATTGTGATGTATTACCTAAAGTCGAGGCTGTGGTTACGCTGATGGGTGGTTAGCCGATTACGGCCGTTGGCCTGATGCGCGCTCGGCCTGCCGTGAACGAGCGGTACGTTGCAGCCATTGAGCTTGTTGCCTATCCTCTTTGAGGGCGCGGCGTTGTTGTTGTTCTCTTGTTTCTGTGGGACAGGATCCACGAGGTGGACGACCGGGTCCGCCGAGCCCAGCTTCGTCGAGCCGGTGACACTGCAGGTGGACGACGCAGCAGCCACTGCCGAGACGGCTATTACCTCGCTCATAGTACTGACGAATGAGCCCTCGCTTCGCCAACAGTCATCTGAGCAGATGCATCCTCTCGCTGGACTGGTCTGCTGCTGTGGTTGGTGTTGCTGCTGCTTCTGTAACGACACCAGATTTTAGTTGAAAGCTAAAGCTATGGGTGAGAGGTTTTTTTACAAGGGGAAAAGTTGATGGCGAGGAGAACCGGGAAACAATCGGCACGGCGTGCCATCGCTGAAATCTCCGGGTGCTCGAGGATACGGCACGAGTTTGGGGAGGAGGGGCAGTACAAAGTTATACGTCTCGTCGCTGTTTACCATTTGTTTTTTTTTTTTTTTTTTTTTAATTTATTTATTGACTTTTTTTTTAATAATAAAAAAGTACTCTACCGCCAGTGTGATTCAGTAACACTGAGCGTTGAATTTAATTTTTTATTAATCACATATTATTATGATTAATGAAGCTGAAACCGACTGCCAAATCGTAGCAGTGACAACGTATCCAATATATACCCAATTTTTAATTCAAAACAAGTTAAATCGATTTTACTGCGAAACAAATCGAACGCTCGTTCCATGGTATTTTAATTAGACGACCAGGAAGTTGATTTATATCGAACTTGTTAAAAATTTTATACACGGTACCCTGATTGTTAAAAAAAAAAAGAGCAAGCGAAGATTACCATTAGAGAATAAAAAAGAGGAACAGTAAAGTATATTATAAGCTAAACAAAAAAAAATTATTTCGCGATTAATGCCAACAAACAATATTATCCTCCATCAAAAACCCGTGAATCTTTCAGTTAGCAGGTACGGCATTAATTGGAGGAGAAGAAAGAAAAAAGAGGTACTTAAAGAGTCTTGAAAACAATGGAAGCATATATATATAGTCGGAGCAAAGAAAGTATACCCCCGCCGCGACTCTCTCTCTCCTCTCATCAGTGAGTATGAGGCCAACGAAACTCTGTTCGCCACCAGCTGCTGTGTAAAACCATACAGTACTATATTGCCCAAAAGTTCAAGTGCCCTTCCCCGTTTGAATTTTTATCAGTCAACGGCACACCCGTTACGCCCCACCCGCTTTTGCTTCTAATTACCTCGTTATCCCTTTTTCCTGAAGCATCCACACAGTTTACTGTAGCATTTTATCGAGTCAAAACGGAAACGAGCCAACAGAGAGCAATAAACTGTTTCAATGAAAATTAAATTCCTAATCAAGTCACAGTCGCAGCGAACCGAGCCATTGGAGGTGGTCGGCTTCGGTGCGCAATTATAATATTGTACCACCAGCAAACGCGCTTCCTTCTCCCTCGGTCGCTGAGAGATAACGTAATCTAAGATCCTTTTTGGGTCGGACGCTCATCGCCGAATTTTGGTTTTTCCGCGCAGAGCAGCGATGCCGTGCTTCTGCGCGTGGAACTTCGATTTTCACCGGCACGAACCCCCGCACGCTTGGGAATTTCGGAGCGACAACAGCATCCCATCCATACCCGTAGGTATACATACACACGAAAACTTTCAAGCTAAGCTGATAAAACAACGTGAGCTCGTCGGTCCTCTGACATATATGTGTGTACAGCTTCCCCCAATGCAGCCCCTGGGCTTTTGTGTAAACTCATCACCTTCGTCATCATAGGTGACATATTTTGTATGTTTTTTTGTTTGCATGAAGGATAGATGGATAACACGATTGAGATAAAAACACTTTTTCATTTACTCTACTTCTTTTTTGTGAATATTATTATTATTATACCTGTGCACACATAAGTTAACTCTGGATAACTCTGTTGTCCATATGTATTTCCGGGAACACCAACTTTAACATTGTCGCGATCCAACAAAGCATGTAAATATTATTCGTGTCTGTTAAAAAGTGCTACTCTTTCCCACTGTGTTATCGCGCATGCATTTTTCTCGCTGAACGTATTACAACAAACCGTAATCGATGTATAATTTATACGAAACTTCGCAATTTCCTTCATCAATAGAAAAAATCGAGCTATTATAGATTCACATTTTTGGGAGCAACAGCTCCTGTCGAGGGGAGGTTATTTAGAGTATTAATGAAAAGCTAGTTAGCGGGAAAAAAAAGTTTTGATCGATCGATTAAGTACACACAACAACACGACGCGCGACTTTTGTTGTAACGTTTTTGCTCATTTCTCGATTATTTAAAGAGATACACACACAATACAACGCAGCGAATGGTTGTGCTTTGCGGACAGAACTTGTGCCGATACTCGAATTTTTTTCTCTTCTTTTTTTTATATTTAAAGCAGCGTAAATAGCTCTCGTATAGCTCGATACCTCGCTCGACGTCACTGCCGGTACAACGCACACTTGAGCGCATCGCTCTCGGAATACATTATCAGGTTTACCCGACTTTGAATTTCAGTGTCAAACAGCACAATACACATTGTGACGACGATTATAACAATGGTTACTCGGTTTTGCGAAAATCGAAAGAGAGAGAAAAAAGAACACTGCGATACGGCAACAAATGGGACTTTGTACGGTATACGCGCGACGGAGCCATAATGGTATTACAAACGTTAGTAGTTGAAATCGTAAAAAAAAAAAAGAAGGTTGAAACGAAGCAGTGTGAGACTCTTTGCATCAGGTAAACGAGGTCAATGGCTTGACAAGGACCGTCGATTAAAGTTAAAACGAGGAAGAAACTCTTTCGAAGTGCGAAGTAAGTGGCATGACACACATTATTTTTCTACTTTTCTTGCACGACTGTATAATAACTGGACAAAAGCAATTCTCGAGAAATCATTACCCATTGAAATTGCCGAAGCCACTGGGGAAATTTTTTTTATGCATCTATCGCCCACGTTAACAGAAGTACGCAAACATAAATGTGCGCCGGTTATTTAACGTCCTTTAATGTACTAAAAAAAACTAAAATACAAATGGAGAACCCGGAAATGGAAGGATGGAGGCTGCTGCGACAAGTGCCATTGCCCACACGATGGAAAAAAATGGTAAAAAAACGTTAGCAAACGGAACTACTCTAATCTCCAAGACCGTGGAACGGGATGCATGACATGTATACGTGTTCGAGAAATCCCCTCTGAACTATAATACTTAGTAGGGGAGAAAAAAAACCCCAACGGTCTCCTCTCAAAATAAAACACAGACGCGCAGGCCACTGTAGTAAAAAAAGGCCTGTGCTCGCGAGCCTAATAAAACCGTCGCGCACAGAGTTGCAGCCGGATCAAGTGGGTAAATTGCGGGTACCCGTACTCACGAGAGTAAGTACGCACATTTGTATTATAGTAATACAAGTATAGTAGGACCTACGCGCAAATATATAAGCGTACATGTAAGAGATGCGAGTGAGAATCAAGTAAAGAGAGAAGAGAGAATTACTTGGTGGTGCAGGCTAACTAACAGCCGTCGTGTGCGACCTGCACAACCACAAAGACGACGACAACGAAGACTTTCACGTTTTTCTCTTTTTCAAGCTATACCTATGGCAGCTGCAGCAGCACAGCCTCTGGGGAGACGAATCTAGGCTACAACCGAGCTGTGTGCCACCGTTGCTGCTGCATTCCGCTCTCCCGTAGAGCGTCAGACTCCGGCACGGGTATTATCTATACATGTATCTACGGTCCACTTATAAAATACATCAGCAGCTGTTGTGGAAGAGACAGGCATACTTTTGTTTATACTTTTCTTTTTTTCATGTATACATCTTCTATCGTGTTTATATACAAATGGAGATAAAAAAGAGAGAGAGAGAGTATGAGCGCGCAAGGAAACTCATGCATGTGTCATATGAATGGAGTGCATCGGTGGTGGCAGATATGACGGCTCCAAAACGTATTAAATAAGTACATAAGTAGACACGCATACACTGACACAGGAAAAACTATTCATCACACATGGGATGGCAATATTGTGGACAAAAAAGCAACCCCAGCTTGATGTGTGTAGTAACCAATACAACCTAATTAGTATGGTATATTATGTATGGACGTACAACACGATTCCTTAATTCAACTGTCCATATTGTTATGAAGGTTATATTAATGCAACATTGAAGCGATGCAAATGACCAACACCCCTATTATTCTTAAAACTACATGATAATGGGTATAGTACCTACTTGAAAGTAAACAAGTATTTATATAAATATAGTGACAATAACCATTGAACGAACATAAAAAATATGTGCATGCATGCCAAGAGCGAGAGAATTCACCACAACTTTCCGGTCTCCGGATGGGCGGCTGCTGTGTGGTCAACGGCGCGTCACGGCACACCCATTCGCGACCATGAGGTAGATACCACTACTCTTTTGGAGGGCTCTCTCTTTCACACCAAGATTTCCAACCCCCTTACCCCTTCGAATGTATTTCCCTCGTCTCGGGGTTCAATTACAATCAGTCTTACAATATAATATGATAGAGGTACGCATTTTTAACATGACGGCGGCGTGCAATTTTACGGTACTAAATTCTAGTAGTAAATCAGTTATGGAAACAACGTATATAGAGATCTGAGACAAGAGACGTCGGCGACTCGGCAAAAGCAATCTCGCACGTCAATGCCTCTTATTCGTGTGTCTCGTGGGTGCGGGGGTGTAAGTATATAATATGTGTATGATACGTATATAAGACCGACTACGGAGAGTGAGACGCCCCTCGTGCACATGTATACACGTACGTACGATACGCCCTGCCTGGATATCACATTTATATGGATACACACTTACGCGGACGGAAGATAAAAAGAAGCGTAAAGCCGCAAAAAAAGGGAGGAGAAGAACAACATAAATAAAACAAAAAATACGAGGTGGAGAGGGAGAGATAGATATGTGTATACACACGAGTAGCAGGCAGGCGTTTGCCATCACTTTCAAAGGGGGAAGATGAGATGGTTCAAGAGAGAGAGAGGCTGAGAAGAAGCTGGAGGAATGTGCACATTATATCCATGTGCATATACGCTATTTACTTGGGTGCAGCTCACCTTGCTGCCTTATTGTCGGCTTTGTATTACGTAGTTCTTTTCCTCTACCACCTCCTTCTTCTCTTATTCTTGTCGTCGTCGTCGTCGTCGTTTTTGTTGTTGGTACCGTCTCCTTCACTCTTTACTTATAACTGATATTTTTATTAACTATCCCAGATAGATAACACGGGACATGAGCGCGTGTATAACTAGTTTAACAACACTACACTTTTCGAAGCACTATTCCTCGCTGCCCGGGAGACATACGCGCGCGCGCGCACTCACACACTTTCAACTGAGCTGAACAGAACTATTGCAGGGCGTGGGTGAACAATATTATATGTACCACTTGGAACCCAGTCAGAGAAGGCCGAGGAGCCAAAAGGGCCTTGTCGATATTTCTCTTCTCCACTATAATTACACGAGGATAAAGTGGTCAAGTTATCACTGTCTATGGATCTAGGCTGCAGCAAGTGAGACCCAAACATATAATTATGCAAGGTAAACTGAATTCTTGAGATTCCACTTTATAAAAATTAAAAAAAACACTCATCAGTTGGGGCTGAGTCACGTCATTTAATATAAAATACTTGGTGCCCTCGCGATATGCTACTGCTGGAGTAAATAGCAGCAGCAGAGCAGAGATAGCAGTGTGGTGGCGGCGGTGTGACGGAGAACTGCAAGGAGAGGCGCAAATGGCCGACTCTCTCCCCTTCCCCTGGAGCAGCAACTGTACGATACGTGAGCCTGACTCTGTTGTTTTTTTTTTCTTTTTTTTTTTTTTTGTTTCGCAAAACAATTCCCTGTACACAGAGATATGTTAAATACTTGTATTAGTGTTTACTCCGCACCAAATGACAATCGGTAAGTATGTATTATAATGCACACGCGCAGACGAGCATGTAGAAAAAAAAAACACTATACTGTAGGTATTACTTATTTTACTCCAACAAAAAACGAAATGTCAAAGAAACTGTATATGTACTTCACATACGCAAAACACACACAGACACACACACACACACAAAACGAATAAACTAGCAGCTGTCCGTTGACCGTAAAAGAAAATCTCAGTGCCTTTGCCAGTTGAGAATGAAAATCTAACCTCTCATAGGCTGTTGCTGCACAGTTTTGCAGGCAGCAAAACTCTTGGCCTCCGCACTTTCACTATATTTTCCAGAGAAAGACAAGGGTTTTTGGAATCTCCTTACCAAACATCGTCTCCGCCAACACACACGCACCGACTGAACTGACTGAACTAACTCTGCCTCAAGCAGCACTTCAGCGAGCAAAGTCAGTCAAGCCAAGCAAGAAAGGTTGGGGTGGGGATAGCCTGCTAGCCGTGCCTTGCAGAGAGGCAGAGGGGGCATGTGTTTATTGTTATGGAAGTAAGAGGGAGACGAAGAAAGTGCAGCGGTGCAGCGACGAACAGAGATTATACACACATCAAACTATTTTATACACATATATATATATATGTATATATATATATATATATGCGTCATGTGTCGCGGTCGCCGAATGTGATTACGTGAATCACTTCATTTATACACATTTATTGAGAATTAAATATTTCGATGTATAACAATCTACAGCTCGAACAGGTGCTCGTGGATCCTTACCCTTTGCAGGTAATTTTATTGTACTGGTACCTTTATATAGATTGGATTTTGTTATTCTGATAGCTGAGGTGCTATTTGTTTTTTAAAGAGATTCATGATAAATAGGTAAAACAACCAAATGTACGAGAGAACCAAACGTATTCTTGATCTCTTTTTCCATGATACTTAACAACAAAATTGTTTGGCACTAAATTACTTGTGGCCTCATCGAGGGGTGTATATATATACATTATAAATATAAGCCAGAGTAAAGAAATCTCGAGCTCGACAAACACCAAAACGAATGTATTAAATTCCAGAATGTTGGCAAAAGAGATCGTAAAAGTCGGGATGATTTATAGATGCAAATCACATGGAAAATCCCGTTTGGTCCCTTCTCTATGATACGCATTTTGCGACTGTAAATGTTTAATAATAATAAAAAATGACTACGATTCTAAGAAAAAAAAAAATTAAAAAGAAACGCTTGTTTATTTCTTTGAATTTTTACACCTGTATAACGTATACACGAGATGGAAACATACATTATTATACACTTGCCGTTCCCACTCGTATGAATTCCCGCAAGTTATTTGTTTAAAAATATTATTGATGACATATGTTTTTTACACTGCAACTATGTCACACTACAACAATAGCGAATACGAGCATTCTTGACACAATCGCTCATAAACAAAGAATTTTTATCAAAAGGAAACAATATCTCTATCTTAGTACTGTTGGACGTATTTTTTTTATTTCTAGGACATGACTCGTACAATAGGAGTATGTGATCATGTAGAAATTGCGCATAAAACAAAAAAAAAATAATCAGAAAGCCCCGAGGCTTGTTATGTTATACCGTACGACATTTTATTCTGGGCAAACGATTCATCATTCCGATCAAGTGCACGCAATAAAAATGCCCCCAATATGGGGATAATTGAAGAATTCCATTTATTCGATTCAGGGTTGAGTGAATCATGTTTTCACCACGTACCAACAGGTTATTCGCATCCCTCTCCTTTCTCCTCTTTCGTGCCAAATTTAATGCAACGAATAAAAAAATTTAAAAAAAAAAAAAAAAAGCACAGCGCACCAACGGGAGTAAGGTCACCTGTGCGGTACCGAGAGTAGACTTTCGAAAAGGCGAGATCACAGCGCGTACCAAAAATTAATAAGTACATACTATATATATAAGTATACACGAGCGCGAAAGATTTGCCAAGTGAAAGGGAAGAAAGTCGTCCAGCGTAAAACACACACGCGACATTTTTGTTTACCTTCTTTATCCTCGGTAGGGAGCTTGATTGAAAAAAAAAAAAAAAAAAAAAAAAACACACACACACAAAAATCAAATCCGCAATCAGCTCTCGCAGTGGCGGTAAAGGTAACTTTTCCAAAACCACAAGAACCGTCCTGCTGTAATGCCACATGTGTACTTTACAGTTTTACACTCTGGAAATGTCATTCGGAAGAAAATACGCGTGCGAAATCTCCGAGCGCGCAATACAAATGTGTTATAACCGTGCTCGGCTTTTATAAAAATACATACACGCGTGTGCTGCGCGCGAAGAGAAAGATAATACAGAAAACAGGTGGCTGACGGTAGTATGAGTATATACATGAATATATATATATTTTTTTTTTTTATATTCATCATCGCCCCTTAAGGGCTCAGACATGGCTATTTTGACACCATAAAGTGTATTTAGCCATACGTTGGGTTTAATAACAGTAGGAGGAAACGGTAGATGGATCGGTAGGTTTATTGAAGTACAACTCCCATCCAGAAAAAAACCTCATTCAATGATGAAATTTTTGTCCAGAGTGGGATTTGAACCCCGGCCATCAAGATCTGTAGGCAGACACGCTACCGACAGAGCCATCATGTGGCTGAATATATATATATATGCGCTTTATCCTTGATGTTTATTTTGCCTGTGAGGCAAGGAAAAATATTTAAATTCGGACCTTTCGCTTTTGTTTTCCGTGCACCATCAAGACAACATTAGGTATTTATGTATATTATACGTGTCACCTCGACATATACATTGTGTGCTCTAATGCTCTATACTTACTGCAGGTGTAATAAAAAATAAAGAGTCGAGGTGCAAAAAGACAAACGCAAACGGACTAACAAACGCACAACAGTATATAGCTGGTACTGAAATATTGGAGGAGAGATTTCGTGGTATTTAAGTCGTGTGTGTGTGCCGAGGTATGTGCATGATATGTTTATATGTTTAAAAGAACAATAATTATGCTACTTCCTCGCGACTATAATATGTATATACTAAAAGTATATTCTGGTACACCATTATAAATACATGTTATTCTGACGTACGGTAAGTATATACACGAATGACGGCTAATGTACTCTCATTTAAAAAATCGGTAGATGTAAATATGTCGAGTAAACAACAACAACAACGCGCACTTGTACCTACATCATCTTGTACATACTGTGCGTGCATTTAAACGCATCAAAAGTGCCGATGAGCACTGTCGCGTCTTCTACCGCCTAATTACACGTCACAGAAAATCGTTTTTCAAAGCCACATGGCACTACAACAATCTAAATACTCCAGGATAGTCTCGAGCCAGGATTTAGCTGGTAAACCTGACGCATCGATCGAGACATCATTTCTTCGATCGCTAAGTATACAACGGTATGGCTGGCGCTATGCTCATTATGGAGTACAGTAGACCGTGATTTCTCTCTCGCTCCGAAGAGAGCATTATAACTGCAAAAGAGTCGCGGCTCGTTAAGCCATTCGCAAATTATTCGATGGAACGTCTAAATGCGAGTATATACGTATATAAAGGCGTACATAGTATATTACATGGTCAATCAGTCGCGGTGCAGGAGGGGGTGAGCTGACACAGCTTTTCCTTTTGATTTGGAAAGTCGTACGTATAGGTGATTTCTCGCCCCCGATTGACTCCCATGTCTTAATGTTACTCTATATATTATATTCTTGTATGACATAGTCGTGAAGATTTCACCACGACTCGTTGGTGACTAAAAAGAGATAAAGAAACGAGGTCAGTTTGGTGGTTTCATCGAGTGGGTGAAACAAAACATAATCATCAGATATTAAGAAATAAAGGCCATATTTGACACTCGGTACGAAAATAAATGTATAAACGCAACCAAAGTGCTAAAAGGAGGCAAAAGCATTGCTCGTTACTTGCATTCCTATGCGACAATACGCACGACTCGGTCACTAAGTTAAGCACAGCCCGTTTCGCCTTAACGAAAACAAGTGCAGGCTCTCATTGTGCTACACTTTCAAATTTATTATAGTAGCGATATGCAATCGAAAACAGGGGTGACTTTAACGTCCGTTTGGCCTTTCTGTGCTTGTAAATGGCTACCAAGAGAGCCGGTGATGGGGTATATTAACGACCCATTTTCAGTGGCGCAAAGTTGGGTCTTATCGTCATGTTGAATAATTGTATATGGTGTAAGCACTTGGTTGGGTGAGATAACGAAAAGAAAAAAAAAGTTGATGCCCACGTACGCGTGGTTTTCATAGAAATTCAACTATTTATGTTACACTGGTAAATTACTTGAACGAGTGTTTCAATAATAAAAAAAAAAAAAAAAGATAAATTAATCCAAGCCCGACAATTGACGTTAACCAGAGCTCGCACGAAAAAACGTGTTGCTGCAATAAATAAATAAAAAAAATTGATATCAGTGTGGAGTAGTGCCGTTAAAAGCGAGCTTATAGAACGTATACTGATAACTCTGCACCCGCGAGGTATTTACATGTGTCAAGCACGTCCTCGTCATCAGTTTGACTCCGATACTGTATTGGGTATGAGACACTGAATTTAATTTTTTTCCTTGTTTTTCCTTATTTTATTTATATTTCATTATTTTAAGAGTTTCGATGATTACGAGTAAAAATAAAGACAAAAAGAAGCTAAAATAAATTAGCTGTGAATTTTATTGTGTTTTTTTTTGTTTTTTTTTTTTTCCATGGTAAACAGAGCGAGGTAGAGTTTTTTTTTTTTCAATTACGCCCACAGACATGATTCGTTGTAATAAAAAAATTGTATCGTAGATAAATAAACATAGAGAAAAAAACAACAGCTACAATAGTGTGATTTTTTTTTGTTACGTTCAGGATACGGAGGATCTCGTTGTGTACATACAGTGCGTTGGTGTATAGGTACGTATTTTCGTGGCAAAAAACTAATCATAACTTAACCGCATGATATTATCTTATCATCCGTCATACGTAGGTACATGTTTCGTATATACGCCTCGTGAACATCCCTGTACTTATGTAGTAAAACTCGAGTAAAAGGTTATCCGTTGATTTTACAATAAGCGAATTGATCCCGTGATAAGAGAACGAATTTATATTTGATGAAAGTCAATAACATACACACAAACCGCGGTAAAAAAAATCTTATGACTTTCCTGAATCGCCAAATTCCAAAGCTCTCGGGCGACCTTTTCACGCCTCTATCTGTATACTATCTCCTTTTGTTTCTGCGATCACTTTGTTGTCTCATCCTTTCTCTCGCCCACGCTTATATTATATGTAAGTATACACGTCAACACACTATAATCCCTGTATATTGGGTGTGCAGCGTATATATCAAACGATGAGCACATCGCTAAACAAAAGTCTCGCTTCATATCGCTAGTATATACCTTCCATACCGGTTTTAAATCCGCGTACACACGCACCTGACTACTTTTGGGGGAAAAAAAAGGGATCCTTATACTTAAATGTTCGATTGGTCATCGCATGTATAATATACTTAGAGCGTAGCTGGTGTGCGTCACGGTACCGCGAGTGTGTGCACAAACACAAACACACACACACACCACAATGTATTATAATGTATACATAAAATATGCAACGGCCAATGGGATTATATAGTACTTATGGGAAAAGGTCGAACAACCGTAAGCGCTTCTTCGTCTTTATACTTATTCCCTTTCTCGCAATTTGTCCGTTTACGTTGATGTACAGATTACTTACACACACCCACACACACACACACACGTATGTATGGGTGCAGATGATACACATATTCTTGCTGTTGATGGGCGAAATATCGTTCGGAAATGAAAAGTCGGGAGGGAGTAGTAAGGGCCTAACGTAATTGACGCGCCCTGCTATAATTGCGAATACTCGTCGCGGATGAACGAGCACTGTAGTATATGTAGTATGGTTTTAAGGGAGAGAAGGAAACAGGAAGGGTACATCGACGTATATACATATATATATATGTACATTGTACCATACCAGACTCTGCAAGGCACATATTATAGCCCGCGTTGATTGAATGCACGCGCCCACCACTTACGGGCTTGCCCGCTGCAGTGTACATATATATGTGTGTGTGTATATATACGTATCCCGTCTACTCTCTTTCTCTATATCTACCCTCTTCTGGTCTTTACATGTTGGTATACATGTACATTGTTTAATTGGGCTTCCAGACGGCGGGCTCGGCTAACGAGGCATTTTTTTTTTTTCCTTACCCCGAGTTTTCTCGGTCTCCTGGCTCTTGAGAATACCATTCGCAATGACATATACGTAGGTACGCATGTACAAATTTACAATGTCTATAAAATTACTTCAACGAAAAACAGAGAATCACGACGATTGTTTGTTACATTTTTGCATAGATGTGTTTTTATTTTGTCCTTACTCCACCTATGCCTGAATACCTATATTCTTGTGGAGAAAAGGAAAATTAAATTTTTTCTTACTTTTTTTTTTTTCTTTTCAAAAGAGAGGCGAAAGAGGAGGATACGATAACGGGATTAATCTTTATCGAGAGAGAGAAGAAGCGCGTTTCCGTATGTTCATCCTACGGGCATCTGCTGCAGTAATTAGCTACATAAACAAACAGTCGAGCCGGCAGGGCTGCAAAAAGAGATGAGCTGCGAACGAGCCGAACAATAAACTCCATGCAAGTTGGGTATATTGTTCACGCGAATCTACAATATATTATTATATACTTGAGAAATAAGAACCGACGCCCGTGCATATACCTACATTACTATATGTATACTTAATAAATTGTTTTTTAGGACGGATGCGCACAAACAGGGAAAGGACCGACCAATTATCTTCCGTTGTCGGGCATGATTTGATCATTAATAATAAAGTTGCATAAGTAGGACAAACTCGCTTGGGTCTCTGTACAACACCGCCTTGGCATTTAAACCGTGAAATTCATTCCGGAGAGTATAGGTGTACAAGCGATCGAAATATACATCATCCCGTCTCTCGAGAAACCCCACGCTTTTTGCATTCCGATGTTTTATCAGTGCAGGGCACTACCTACCGTATAATATATCACGTGTACACACACACATATATATATATATATACCTACATTGTATTTTTCTTCGATGTAGGTTTCAAGGCGTGCGCGCAGAGTAGCGCTTCTATATTCTCCAATAACTTGCCGAGCATCTATTTTTACACTGCACCGCATAAACTAGCCGGCCAACCAGCCTCGGATGTACACACATAGGTATACATACATGTACTATAGTACAAACTGATAACGACTTACTCCATCGGAGTGAAGGAAAAAAAAAAAAAAAAATCAGGCTTCGATATAAAGAAAAAAGCCTGTAGTGCCCCGTACCCACCTCTAAGAGGATTACTCCAGGCTTGTCGAGCGTTCGGTTGTGAAATCGATTATCGGACGCGTATATATTTATGTATAAACAAGTGTATAATATGTGTATACCGCGAATATCGGCCTCTTGTACATTACCTATATATATAGGTACACGAGTATGAGGTATGCATTATAATGTAAACTGTAGTTACACAGCATCCGACAGGGGAAAAAGTAACGCATCGGTTGTCGTATAGTTTCATTTTCTTGTTGACAAATTATTATTGGGGGCTGCATGCTAAATCGATCTATTTTACTAGGGGTGCAATGCTCGCGTACCATAAACACCCACGCGTGATCTAAATAAGCGGATGGTAACAATTCTGGAGGGAAAAAGAAATTTTCATCCACCGGATCAAAACAGCCGTTATGTACACGCTTGATTGTTTTTTTTTTCTTTTTTTTTTTTCCGAAGATGATACATAATATTACATGTACGTTACACAGCATTAATATACGGAAATCACAGCCGTACGTTACGGGGAGTAAGTACGTGGCTATTTTTCTTATTTTTTTTTATTTTCATATAGAAGCACTCGAGGGAAACTAATCCTCGAGTTAATTAATGCGATATCGTTGAGCGCAAAAACGGAACGTTTTTCTCTCTCTCGCTCTCTCAAGTATACACGTATACGTGTACTTTTAAGGGTGAATTGATTAATTTGTTTTTATGTACGCTGTAATTCATTAATTTCCGAGATTCATTCGTTACATTTCACCTTGAGCTTTGCTTTTTACTTAGTTATCATATTCATGTTCATAATCACAACCATAACAATACACACCTTATTAATTAACAATAAATTGCATTTCATTTTCAATGCGCATCAGTAGATTTTCATGCTGTTGTGGTCGTTGTGATTGTAACGACTAACGGATTTTAAATACGTTAATCATTTTGCGATGGTACAAGCTTACGTACCTATGCATTATAGCTTTTAAAACTAATTATAATCGTTCGAAAGGTGAGTACACATTACTTGTATAATGATGCAAGATGTTAATTAAAACGTGTGCGAGTACCTATGTGTTTACGCGTTGGAAAAATTAAAACAAGTTACTTGCATGTACACGCAACCGGAATGCACGTATGTGAATTACTTTAACTCCGATTTCGAGGTACGAAGCTTTTAGGTATACCTAAAAAGGTATATGTCGTTACGGTAACGATATAGGCTGAAAAACTATGACAACACCAGACCTACAATAATATATGGGACCAAAGGTTTTAAATAATCCGTGTATTTTTCGTTAAGTCTGAATACCCTAATTACCTGCACAGTAAACTATATAATCACCTGCTGCTGTACTAATAATCGATAAAATATTTATGTCACCTATATACGATGACAATAATCAACACGTAAATAGTTTATGTATACGAATCGATTACCTTTCAGATCTGTGTCAAAGAGGTGGCAGGAAAAAAAAAAAAAAAAAAAAAAAAAAAAAACCATAAAGGCACATCGATGATGAAATTAAGAGTCGTTCTGCAGTCGTGCACGTCGCTGATATTATTTTTAAAGCTCGCTCGTGCCGACGAGTCCGAGCTTACGTTACGCCAACTGAACGTGGTAAGTATATGTACATGACACACAATGTGTACTTAAAAAAAAAAAGAAAAAAAAAAAAAAAACATCCATACAGAAAACACTGTTATTACGCGGTTGGGTATAACGCGCAGTTGCCCCCTTCTTTTCCCGTCTTCAAGTAAAAGGGGGTGGGAGGAGAAGTAAAAAACAAAAAACCCAAAAATTGTATATACAAATAAGACTCATCAGAGTATAATTTAACCCGTGTGTCCGCAGATATTCAGGCACGGCGATCGTATGCCCGAGACCTTTCCCAAGCGATTTCCCAACGATCCCAACATGCACGACACCTACCACCCCATGGGCTCCGGAGGCCTAACTAACGTAAGTATAGGTACGCACGTACATGAATATATATATACATCCACACGCAGGCGTGTAATATAAAAGAAACCATCAAAAACACAGGAGCACATCCGCTCTTTTCTCTACCTCTTAATTAACTAACGAGTCGGTGTATAATACATATAAGGTAATACATATATGCTAATGAAGCATCAGCTGTGCGTATAGCTGAGATATCTATTTTTTCACGCGCACACGTATCCACATATACATGTGTGTGTATATTGTATATATATATTCACAGGAGGGCAAGCTGAGGTTGTACCGTTTGGGGGAGCTATTGCGCCGCAAATACGATACCTTTCTGGGCCCCGAGTACGTGGAAGGTGACCTGTACGCCATCAGCTCCAGCTTGGCCAGGACCAAGATGTCGTTGCAGCTGGTCCTCGCGGCGCTCTATCCGCCCTCGTTGCTTCCCAGGAAGAGCAGGTGGCACGAGTTTCTCGATTGGCAACCCATACCCACGCACTACTACGACTTCAGGAACGACCAGTTCTTCAACAGGGACAAGTGCCAGGAGTAAGCTGATTTTTTTTTTTTTTTTTTTTTTTTTTTTTTTTTTTTTTTTTTACAAGATTAACGCCCGAGTGAAAAATAGTATACCTTGGTTTTTGGAAGAATACCCGTGTATATGAATTCAATCGGGATGAAAAAAGTAAAAATATAATATATACTACATTTGGCACACCAAATGGTACCGACTCATCTCTCAGTCGTGGCATTGATCCGTGTTTCGCGTGTCCACGTTTGTACGGCTATTACGTCGGAATGTCAAGGTAACGCGCAAGCAAAGTTCGGTCACGCACGCCCGTCGCGCTTATTACACCCATACCTACACGTACAGTATCGAATTTCAATAAATCATCGCTCCATTGTATCGCCAAGTTATTCATGAAACCGGTATTTAACACAAAGTTTCCAATGTGCAAGTAAGAGGGTAAAAATAAAAAAAATGTATGGAAAAAAAAAAAAGGTACATCGAGGAATTGGCCCGAGTGTGGAACTCGAGTGACGTACGGAGGAAACTCGAGGGGTACGAGTCTTTCTTGGAAGAGCTGAGACTAGGAGCGGGAAAAACGACGCGGATAACACTGGACGACGTGCTAATTTTGCACAATAACTTGAGCATCGAGAAAAAACTGAACATGAGCATGAGGCCGTGGATGATTGATGCCCTGCGGGACGCCAGGCTCGGAGAAATGAGGAGACTCTATTACGAAATCCGTGGCTACGACAACAAACTCCGGAGACTCGCCGATGGTCCGTCAAAAATTTTATCACCTTCATTTATGGGTTATTGGGTTATTGGAGCGAAAATGTATACCCTTTGGTTTCAGGAACTTTGGTCCGGCAGATGAACAACGACATGGTGCGTCGAAGCAACGAGTCGTCAAAGTATCCGCGAAAGGTGACGCTGTACAGCGGCCACGACAAAAATTTGATCGGTGTGATGCAAGCGCTGAAAATCTACGACTCGCACTTTCCCGAGTTCGGGAGCGCTTTGATCTTCGAACTGCTCGCTTCGATGGATGGACAACACCACGTGAAGGTTTCAATCGATGTTTTAGCGTATACGATTATTATTTTCAGAAATTTCATCCGTTCCTTTTGTTGCACAGATCTTGTACCACCTCGGTATTCCAGAAGTGACGAAAACTCTCGTGATTCCGGGATGCGAGTCACCCTGTCCTTTGGCGCGATATTTGAATTTGACCAAGTCCGTGGAAATATCGGACGAGGAAACGAGCTGCGAAATCAGGTCCGACAATTACTTTGCCGACAGTGATTGAAAAGCTGAAAATAAACCAACGACAACAAAAAAAAAAAAATCGTTTTCCACTGTACCTGATCTATGTACGCAGGAATTCTCGATTTGTATACATACGCAGTGGCCTTGAAATAAACTATTACCACACGAATGTTTTTAATACCCTTGGGGGCATTTTTATTACTTTTTCCCTCCAATTGCAGGTGCAGGTGGTCAAATTACCTATTGGCGAGTGAAATAAAAAAAAAAAAAAACTGAATATCCTTGGGGTGTGGCCGCGACGTCCTTACTTCCCCGATTGAAAGGGGCACAAAGGGAGCGGAGGAGGGGAGAGAAACGAGATACGGCCATACGATCGGAGAGCTCCAATTTATGCGCTCGAATAAAATTCTGTCTGCGTGTGTGTATACACGCCCGTAACGTCACTATTCCTATGTGGGTATACCGTATATAGCGATGACTAGGCTTATAAGTTGGGCGCGTGCACGAAATATCAGGGCTCGTCGTCGTCGCACCTGGTCCCTCTATATATGTGTGCTCCCACACGAAATTAATGAATCCTCATGGTATTACCAAAGTACTGGCGTTTCGGCGTTATCGGCATAAATCTTTACTTTATTATTATTTTTTTTTTTTTTATCAGAATACAGTGCTGGGTAATATGAAGCTTGTAAACATACGCTTGTACAACCTCGAAGCTCAATGGATCTTTGCACTGCAAATTGTATCGATATCAATTATATATATATATATTTTTTTTTTCTTTTAACTTTAAGTTAAAAACATATTCTCTCGCGCCAGTAAAAATTATCACAAAATTTTTATTTTTATTATTCCTCATTGAATTATGAAAAAAAAATAATAATAAATAAATAAAAATAAATAAATAAATAAATTTTAAAAACTTGATGAATCCTAACGAAGACACAAGCAACCAACTAACATATATATGTAGCAGAATAACTGGCTTTAAACATGTTGTTTTTTTTTTATTATAACGTCCAATATGTTATCCAGTGCGGGGCATGTAACTATAGTAAACTCTTTCCCTTGAAGAATATACACAAAGTCGAGGGGTGGCGGGAGGCGTGCTGTTTTTTGTGTGGCAGTAAGTACCCTCGGGTATATTACACGTATATAGACCTATACTCTACCGGGCTGAGCCCCAGTGATGGGTAGACATGTATATATATGTGGGTAAGTATATGCATTACCTCGTGCGCCATAGACACACATTCCCTTGAAAAAAGGCCTAATTGAATTCGCGTGACACCCTGGCATCGTCGTCATCTTTGCCGCTGTGTATATATACACACCTCGTGTAATGTTGTCCTCGACCCACGACACGACATCAACGTCGCGGGCCATTATATCCAGAGTCTATTCTCACGCCATGTCTACGGAATAATAGAAGGGACCGGGGGGTGGGGGTGATGGCCCGAGAAGGGCAGGGCCTCCCCGTGTATGTCGTGTTTCCATAGTGGAAATTAATGAGAGTCTTTTCACGTGTACAATAACCATGGCAATGGGGGGGGGGGGAGCAAGCGTGTCGTCGCCCCCGCGGTTTTCTTTGATTTCCATGGGCGTATCTCTCCACGCCACGCTTGCCTATATATGTACATATACATACTCAGCGCCATGATAATACACCCGAGAGTCAAAGTAAACGACCTGACCGTGTGAACGAACTTTTCGTGCTGCGGTTATAAAAGCCTACTGGATTATTATAGTTACCATTGTCGTACGTACAGGATGAGCGAGTGCAACGTGTATTGTAAAAAATAAAAATAAATTAAGTATACCTTATACGTGCTTCCTCATTATGGAGTAGCCCATATTACACGCGCCACGTGGATTTTACAAACGTGTACGTGTTACGTGGAAAGTGTGCCCTGTGTATATTTATGCAGTGCTTATAAGTATTGTAGGCCCATTTCAAGCAAATTGGGAGAAAAAAATACAAAAGGCGTTCGCGCGTCGTAAAATCCTTGTTATGGTAATTTACAAACAAATCGGTAATACAATTGTCCGTGTACCTCTCTAAGATTGATTTTTTTTGTTTTTTTTTATCCCACATCCCCCTTTTTTTAGTCAAAGTTGCCGAAAATCTGTGGCTCAACTATTATGTGCTGCACGATACTACCAATAATCGATATTGTTAAATTAGCTTGAAAATCGTTGATAGAACTTTGTTATCATACGTACAAAAGATGAATTTTTCATGAAATAGCTCACGCACGTAATTCACAGTAGTCGTGCTAATTTTTATTTTTTTTTTAAATAAAATACGTGTATATGGCTTTGAAGTTTTGCCCCGCGCCATAGTAGTACATAGGTAATAATGCGCGTGTTTTTACCGTTAATCGTTTACCGCATCTAGCCTGCATATATATATATATACGTACGTGTTTACCAATATTATACCAATAAGAAGTCCAGTCTGAAGTATGTACCGTACAGGCGTGTGTGGTTGCATGGGTAAAGGTGTCGAAGTCTTTCTCGCAACGCATGCAGTGGGTAATTTTACACGCTTTCTAGACGCACCTACTTTGCCCGAGAGCGCGTGCTTTGTTGTTTATTATACGTGTACCTATACGTGTACCTATATGTACACGCAATCTCAAAATTGCCGAACGGACCCATAATGGATTTGCTGGTAAAACATTCCGTTATTACCATTATTTGGTCATTTTTCACTGTCTCGCATTCTTACACATATACATATATTTTTTTTTTTTTTTCATACAAAACAAAAATTTGATTATGTGTACATGGATGAGCTGCACACATCTTTTGATACGTGATGCGTATGAAATTTTTTACGATTCTCTTGGTACCGCTCGTTTAAACAAAACCCGTGGGTGAGAGGCAGACGAATTGTTTTTAATTCAAGTAGCTCACGGCGCTCGTGCACTCGGTGAAATCGAAAGGCCGACGTTGGAATGGAGTGCATTCATTTTGTGGATTGAAGCTCACTGTTACATTATTTTCCGGCAGTATTGGTTTTTTCAAGTGTGGGATGATGAGCTACCGTATACCTAATGATGATTTAATTATACGCGCACGACTGGTGAGAGAAAAAAAAAAAAAAAAAAAAAACGGTACAAGCTTGCCGTGGTTTTTTTTTTTCTCTTTACCTGCGCCCAACTCTTGAATATCAAAATAAAGACCACATTGTTACACACGACTATTAGCACTATTATTCTTGACTATTTTTTTATTTATTTTTTTTTTTTCACACGATACCAAATAATACCCACTTGTAAGGGACAGATAAACGCGAAGCCGACGATTTCACAGGTCTGCCAATTGTTTTCCATTATAGCCTCGCCGTATACATTTCACATGATACAGCACAAACAACCCGATCGAGTTGGTCATACCAACGCTCAAGAATCAGGTATGTATATAGTTAAGGCAACCGATGCATCAGTTTGAAATGGCATATATACCCATATTGTACAAATATATGTATGATGTAGTTCAATAACGTTGGAATTCTACACAACTATGGAGCTCCTCGCGCATCAATACAAGTATGCGTAAATAATACACGCGAGCAAGCCGATCTGACGGAGGAGCGCGCCATACCATATAGTTCGAATCGGCGCGCAGCCACAACCGAAAGTTCAAAGCATAAATTGTTCCTTCAATATAAAGCACATAAGTTTATAGTAAAAGCTGTAGCTGATAATACCCTCGCCGTTATAATATATATATGTACTCCCACAATGGTACACTGGACGAGTCTTTTAACAAAAACCCAACAGTCCAATCCGCGTCTGAATGATCTCGGTGGGGGTGTATGCCTATTATTATCACGGTACGTGCATGTACATGCGTAGGTATAGTTGATACGGTGTCATTAACAATTACGTTACAAAGAGATGTGTCACATATATATTTGTCGGTCCAATGATACGAATCGCGAGTACATGCGGCTATATACGTTGCATATTGCTCTCCAAGCGTGCAATGAAAAAACCGGATATCAACAATTTGGAACGTATCAACTGGAAAGAGTCGTTAGACGGATAGAGTGTACATGCGTCTATATATGCACGTATTAGAATAGCGAATGCGAAATGCAAATTCTCGTTCGCACGAAGAACGTACATATACATAATATATTTATGTAAGGTACAAATCTGTGGGTAGAGGGAGATAATATATATACAGAGAGAAGTAGAGGCTAATTTTCTACTTTGATTCTCCGTTCGCTATAAAAGTGACCATAACTTGCGCGGAGCTTGTACTCTGTATAAGATCGCATATATACATGATACGCGGCGATAACGCTCCCAAGAGCCGTACATGAACGAGTACGTTAGAGGCCATCTATTATCGCGTCGTACCACAGACGCACTCGTCCGCGTCCTTAGCAGCTTTTGCGCAGTATCGCGGAGAGATATAGAAAAGGAGGCACCTGCGGGTCTTGGATATTTATTTATTTATAGTGTCACTGGCGTGTTATTAATTCGAGCTGCTTTTTTTCTTTTTCTTTTTTTTTTTTTTCCTGCAACAGCAGAGATGTGCCTTACATGCATTTATTGTTGTCTTTAGAGATACAAATAAAGAGAAATATGTTTACCCTCTCGAGAGGAGGAGAGGAGAAGACTGATGGCACAACGAGTAAATTATTTTAGTCACAAATTCATACAGTATATATATAATCTTTCTTTATTAACTGCATATTGCTGAGGAATCTCATTATTCTCCCAACTCTTGCGGTGGCTAAGTTTGACGGATTAAAGTATTGTTTACGTATAATAATTGTAACGCATGAAGAAATAATACTTATGTAAAGAGCTTTTTTATAAAAAAAACTACTGGTATGTTATTATACTCATTGCACAGCACAGATACACATATACATATAGGTATGCGTGTGCATATAATAACATTGGTGTTTTTCATCGAAGGCTGACAAAGGCTCGTGACGATCATTAACACATCGTCTATAACGCACGCAACGCATTTTTTTCTGTCACCTGAGGCTGAACGAGAATAAAGTCGTAAGAAAAATCCATCCATTCGAGAATTCCGTCCTTTCCTCTTTTTATTTTCAATCTCACCTCGCCTCGTTTCAATAAAATGTGCAAATGCGACGCGTAAACGTGATTGGAGTTTATATATATAT